ATACGATACCGCCATCCGTTAGCGCTGGCTTCTGGGCCCCACTCCGCGCCACTCCGCCTGAAGTTGTGGAAGCTCCGCCGGACACATCGTCAGGTCAGGTAGGTCTGGGGGATGCTGGATTCCCAAGCCCTGGAACAAGCGCTTCGGATCTCCTCCTGGTGACAGGACGTGAGCTCTCCCCTCGCGGAACACCATTAGTTCGAAAGGGAAGCCCCAGGCGTACTTCAGGCCTGCCCCTCGCAGAGCCCCGGTTATGGGCCGCCAGTCTCTCCCCCGCTGTAACGTCGAGGGAGCCAGGTCTTGGAAGAATGAGATTGTGGCTCCGGCGTGCCGGATCGGCCCATCACGGCTCTTCTTCATCAGGGCCTCTTTCGTTTTGTAATAGAGGAATTTTATTATAACGTCCCTCGGGGCGTTGGCTTCGGCCCTTTGCGTTTTCATCGCCCTGTGAGCTCTCTCCATATGCCACTGTTCCTCTGGGGTGTGTGCGAGCAGCGGCCTAAAAACCGACAATAAGAGCCCTTGCAGGTCTTCGTCCGACCCTTCTGGCAAGCCTCTTACACGGAGATTATTTCTCCGAGAACGATTAGCCATATATTCTAGGGCAAAATCCATGTCGACCATATGCATTGTCATGCGATTTACCCTATCGGCTGCCTCGTTGTGGGCCTGAGTTGTCGCTTCCATGCGGTCTTCCAATTTAGCCGTGCGCTCTCCCAGGGCACTTATGTCGGCCTGCAGCACTGCCGTTGACTTGGCTATTTCCCCAGCAAGGAACGATCTCACCTCCGCCAATTTTGCGAGAACAGTGCTTTGTTCCGCGGAGAGGGCCTCCTTGTCTGCGCCGGGCGACGCGTGTGGAGATACCCCGTCGCCATCTTGGCTGTCGGCCCGTCCATGCCGATGGGCTGTGAGCAGGTCAAGAACTGAGCTGCTGGACTCCGCGGTCCTCTTCGCCTGTTTCTTGGGGAGTCTCTTTTCCATATTGTAGAGGTCAGTGAGGGAGAAATTGCCTGAAAAAGGTCGCTTTTGTTAGCTTATGGCGCAGTTGGGACGGAGCTCTAGTGAAGCACGTCTGGTCTCATCGACAGTCAGACCACGCCCCCAGATGAAGAATAATTTTGACGACCACAAATTTCGTCTTTTAATACAAAACTCTAAAAGGAATATGTGGCGCTCGTTTAATAAGAATCTAGTGCAGCCTAAAACAACTTCAAGTGCAATGTCACCTTATTAGACATGTGTAATTCATTTCATTCCGAATGTCCGAATAGCTGAATTGCTGAATTTCCGAAGTGCAGAATTTCGGAAGTGCCGAACCGAACTGCCGAAGTCCCGAAGTGACGAATGTCTAAATAGCCGAAGTGCCGAATTTCGGAATGCCGAACCGAAGTGCCGAAGCGCCGAATTTTAAAAAAACAAACCCCCCCAAGTGTTCCCCCCTCCCGAGCCCCCATCCTTGCAGCACAAGTGGGGGCCTTTAAACTGAAGTGGGACCTATTACCCCCCCCGGCCCCCACCCCTGAGTGGCGGGTTATGGCCCTGGATGACAATGGGGGGAACCTATCGTGTGTCCCCCAGCCCCCAACCCTGAGCGGCGGGTGGGTGCCCTAAATCAGAATAAGGGGCGGGTCTTATTGCCCTCCCCCTGCCCCACACCCCTAAACGGCGAGTGGGGGCACTAAAGTAGAACAAGGGGGGGATCTATGGATCTAATTTCCTCCCCCCGGCCCCCACCCATGAGCGCTAAATCAGAATAGGAGGGGGACCTATTGTCCTCCCCCCAGACCCCACCCCTAAACGGCAGGTGGGGGCCCTAAATTACTTCAAAGGATAGGGGACCTATTGTACTCCCCCCCCCGGCCCCCACCCATGAGCGGCGGGTGGGGGCCCTAAATCAGAACGTTGGGGACCCCCACCCGCCGCTCATGGGTGGGGGCCCTAAATAAAAATGTTGCCACCCCCAGGTGACTAGGGGTCCCCAAACCCCTAGTGAGGGGGGAACAATAACTAAGTACCTGTAAAAAAAGAAATAAAACTTACCATTTGATGTCTTCTTTTTTCTAAAATCTTCTTTTTTTAGCCCCAAAAAAGGGCAAATATAAAACCATAATACCCTTCGCACTTTAAAAAAAAAAACCAGAGCGCGAAAAAAATCAGACGCAAAACCCCCCCAAACACTGAAAAAGTAATCCGTCTTCACCCATGGCGGACAAACGCAAAGACTGTCAGGATTACGGTTTGATCCAGCACGTAGAACTGTACAGCACGGATGACAAATAAGTAACGTATTACCGGTCCTTAGAATGGCCGGATTTAACGTACAAAGAATAGTCAAAAATACTAGCCGAGGTCAGGGAACACAGAAAGGGACACAGCGATGAGGAAAGCCAGGAGTCAGGATACCAGAATATAGAGAAGTCAATAAACAAAGCCAAAGTCAAAAACCAGGTAGAAAACTATAAACGCGCTCTCAGACAACCACAAGGGAAACCACGACAGGGCACTGAGCAGGCTGAGAACTGGGCCTAAATACCCCTCCTTTAGTTCTGATAGGCTGTAACCGGCCTTTGACCCCAAAGTCAGTTACCAGGTTTCATTTGCATAATTGCTGCTCAGCATTAACCCTTCTGTGGATTAGGTTGCTGCTCGGCACAACTTTTCCTGTGTGGACAGTAAATGTCATTAACCACTTTTATAAGCGGATGAATACATGACACCAGGTTTCATTTGCACAATTACTGCTCAGCATTAACCTTCTGTGGATTAGGTTGCTGCTCGGCACAACTTTTCCTGTGTGGACAGTAAATGTCATTAACCACATTTCTATAAGCGGATGAATACGTGACATTACCCCCCACCTGAAGAACGCCCACCGGGCGGACAGGACCAGGCTTGAGAGGAAATTTAGCGTGAAAAGCGCGGATCTTACGGCCCGCATGCAGGTCAGGAGCCGAAACCCAAGAACGATCAGCAGGACCGTAACCTTTCCAAACAACCAAGTACTGTAAAGTGCCCCGAGAAAACCTAGAATCCACGATAGAAGATACCTCATACTCTTCCTGACCACCCACCACCACCGGAGGGGGAGGAACACAAGGAACAGTATATCTATTGCAGACAAGAGGTTTGAGTAAGGACACATGAAAAGTGTTGGGAATCCCTAAAGATGCAGGAAGAGCCAGAGAGTAAGACACTGGATTGATCCTACGAAGCACTCTATAGGGACCAAGGAATCTGGGGGCAAACTTCATGCTAGGGACCTTAAGCTTGATGTTGCGAGATGACAACCAAACCCGGTCCCCCACTTGGTACACCGGGTTGGCACTCCTACGCTTATCAGCAAAATGTTTGAAGCGTTCAGCAGCAGCCCCTAGAGCAGTTTGAACCTTAACCCAGGTATCCCGAATGGAGGCCAGACGCTCATCCAGAGCAGGAATGGCAGTATCAGAAAATACCGCAGGGAGAACCGTAGGATGCCTACCATTATTGACAAAAAATGGACTGTGCCCAGAGGAGTCATGAACAGCATTGTTTCTAGCGAACTCGGCCCACGGGAGTAGTTCGGACCAATTGTCTTGTGTGCTATTAATAAAACAACGCAAATAAACTTCTAATGACTGGTTAGCCCTCTCAGCTGTACCATTGGTCTGTGGATGGTAGGAGGAGGAGAAGGAGAGATCAATCCCCAATTGTTTACTGAACGCCCTCCAGAACCTGGACACAAACTGAGAGCCCCTATCAGACACAATATTGTGGGGGATGCCATGCAAACGGACAATTTCATGTATGAAAATTAGGACCAAATCTTGCGAAGATGGCAACTTCTTGAGAGGAATGAAGTGAGCCATCTTAGAAAATCGGTCTACAACCATGAGAATAGTAGTGAACCCAGCAGAGCTAGGAAGCTCAACAATAAAGTCCATGGATAAGTGGGACCATGGAATCTCAGGAACAGGAAGAGGCTGCAACAACAGTGCATGAGTCACCTTAGAAACTGCACACACAGAACATGCTTGCACATACTCCTTTACATCTTTCCTGAGTGAATCCCACCAAAATGATCTAGTGATCGCGGCAGTGGACTTATTGATGCCCGGGTGTCCAGCAGTTATATTGTCATGGAACACTTTCATGATATTAACCCTTTCACATAGGGGAACGAACAGTTTATCACACGGTTTACCACTGGGCGCCTGAGGCTGGGCCTCCAGTATGGTGCCAAGCAGTGGAGAAGACAGTGAGAGGACAGTAGTAGCAATAATACACTCTGGTGGAATAATAGGAGATGTCACCTGTTCCGGAGCTGACTCATTATCAAATTGCCTGGACAAGGCATCAGCCTTGGTATTTTTAGAACCAGGTCTATAAGTAATGAGAAAGTTAAAACGTGAAAGGAATAGTGACCATCTAGCCTGTCTGGAAGACAAACGTTTGGCATCCCCTATATATGCCAGATTTTTGTGGTCGGTTATGATCAACAGGGGGTCCTTGGAACCCTCCAAAAGATGTCGCCACTCCTTGAGGGCAAGAATAATGGCCAACAGTTCTCTATTGCCAATATCATAGTTGCGCTCAGCAGGAGACATCTTTCTGGAGAAGTAGCCACAAGGATGCAATGGTGTTCCCTGGCTTTCTCTCTGAGAGAGAACAGCCCCTACCCCTGTCTCGGATGCATCAACCTCCAATATAAAAGGTTTACTAGTGTCGGGATGTTTTAGTATGTCCGCAGAGGCAAATCTTTGTTTAAGAGTCTCAAAAGCATTCACAGCCTCTTTGGACCATACCGTGCTACTAACCCCTTTGCGAGTCATATTTGTGATTGGGGCTATTACAGAAGAAAATCCCTTGATGAATCTTCTGTAATAGTTGGCAAAACCAATAAACCTTTGAATGGCTTTTAAACCAGAGGGTAATGGCCAGTGTAGTACAGCCTCTAGTTTATTAGGATCCATTTGAAATCCCGATGCAGAGATGTTGTAACCCAAAAAGTGGACTTCAGGCTGGTCAAATATGCACTTTTCTAATTTACAATAAAGTTTATTTTTCAACAACGTCTGCAGAACCTGTTTCACATGGGAGTGGTGAGTTTGAAGATCAGGGGAATACACCAAAATATCGTCCAAATAAACCAAGACAAATGAGTAAATGAATTCCCTGAGTACATCATTTATAAAGTCTTGGAATACGGCCGGGGCGTTGCATAACCCAAATGGCATTACCAGATATTCATAGTGTCCACTACGGGTATTAAATGCCGTCTTCCACTCATGATTCTCTTTAATTCTAACCAAATTGTAAGCGCTCCTAAGGTCAAGCTTAGTAAATACTTTAGCTCCCTGAAGTCTATCGAACAATTCGGAAATGAGTGGGATAGGGTATGCATTTTTTACAGTGATTTTATTAAGTGCCCTGTAGTCTATGCAAGGGCGTAACTCACCACCCTTTTTCTCAACAAAAAAGAATCCTGCACCAGCTGGTGAGGATGACTTTCTTATGTGCCCTTTGCTCAAGGATTCTTTGATGTATTCCTCCATTATTTTACTCTCCTGGGGAGATAAGGCATAAACTGCCCCCTTAGGTGGCATAGCGCCTGGAAACAGGTTAATGGCACAGTCATATGCTCTGTGGGGAGGCAATACATCAGATTGAGCCTTGTTAAACACCTCCTGAAGTTCTCGGTATTGTATGGGAACTCCAGGAGTTTGGGGAGTGGTAGTGGGAGGGTCAATAGTATCCAATCTCTTTAGTACTGGTTTTATACATCTCCCCATACACTCTTTACCCCATTCTAATATCTCCCCATTAGCCCAGTCAATATAGGGATTGTGCTTACTCAGCCACGGAAACCCTAATATGATAGGACATGATGGAGAAGTAATAACCTGAAACGTCATCTCCTCCCTATGGGAGGCCCCAATGGAGATCATAATAGGGACAGTTTCGTGGGTTATAAGCGGTTGTGTGAGTGGTCTACCATCAATAGCCTCTACAGCTAGCGGCGTAGGTCTCTCCCTGACCGGTATCTCATTACCCCTAATAAACTGGACATCAATAAAATTTCCAGCAGCACCTGAGTCCATTAGGGCACTGCAAGAAAACTTCTTGTTATCAAGGGAAATAGATACCTCAAGGAGGAATCTACTTTTGTTTTTGTTAGAGGACAACTCCATCACACCTAAGATCTGTCCCCTTAAGGTTCTTAGGTGCGGAAGTTTTCCGGACGCACTGGACAATTAGTTATCATATGTCCCTTTCTACCGCAATATAGGCATAACCCCTCCCTTCTCCTATACTGTTTTTCGGCCTCTGACAGTCTAGTGACCCCCAACTGCATAGGTTCGGGTTCGGACTGTACAGGGAGGTTAGACAAAACAGGTTTAGAGAATTGAGGTGCTAGGGACATAGCCGTACGTCTGGTCTTGCTTCTGGTGACTTCTCTGAGTCTTAACCTATTATCAATATGCATGACAAACGTAATAAATTCGTTAAGACTCTTAGGTAATTCTTTAGCGGCTATCTCATCTAGTATAGTCTCTGAGAGACCCTTTTTGAATGCTGAGATTAACCCATTGTTAGTCCAGTCTACCTCGGAAGCTAAGGTACGGAATTCAATAGCATAATCCGAGATAGACCGGTTACCTTGTCTGATGTGCATTAGGGCAGTGGAGGCGTCATCCTCTCTACCCAATGGCTCAAACGTGAGCTTGAATTCGGCAAGGAATTCCTGGTAATTATGAGCTATGCTCCGATTACTCTCCCACAACGGATTAGCCCAGGCAAGGGCCTTGCCCTTTAATTGATTCATTAGATAACCAATTCTTGCTCTGTCCGTGGGGAATGACCCTGGTGAGGCCTCAAAATGGTACTCCACCTGATTAAGAAAACCCCTGCATTCCTGGATATTGCCATCAAACTGTAGGGATGGTGATAAGGAGATGCTAGGAGTCATATTAACAGTGGGTGGAGGTACACAGGGTAGAGGTGCTATAGGAGGAGATGCTGCAGGCTGCAGATGCTCCGTTCTAGCGAGAAGCGTACTTAAAGCCTGAGTGAATTGATCCATGCGGTGATCATTCTCCTCTAATTTCCTCTCGCAAGCAGCTGTGCTGACACAGTTCTACAGGATCTATGGCCATGTCGTAATGTCAGGATTACTGTTTGATCCAGCACGTAGAACTGTACAGCACGGATGACAAATAAGTAACGTATTACCGGTCCTTAGAATGGCCGGATTTAACGTACAAAGAATAGTCAAAAATACTAGCCGAGGTCAGGGAACACAGAAAGGGACACAGCGATGAGGAAAGCCAGGAGTCAGGATACCAGAATATAGAGAAGTCAATAAACAAAGCCAAAGTCAAAAACCAGGTAGAAAACTATAAACAGGAACGCGCTCTCGGACAACCACAAGGGAAACCACGACAGGGCACTGAGCAGGCTGAGAACTGGGCCTAAATACCCCTCCTTTCTTTCTGATAGGCTGTAACCGGCCTTTGACCCCAAAGTCAGTTACCAGGTTTCATTTGCATAATTGCTGCTCAGCATTAACCCTTCTGTGGATTAGGTTGCTGCTCGGCACAACTTTTCCTGTGTGGACAGTAAATGTCATTAACCACTTTTCTATAAGCGGATGAATACATGAGACCAGGTTTCATTTGCACAATTACTGCTCAGCATTAAACCTTCTGTGGATTAGGTTGCTGCTCGGCACAACTTTTCCTGTGTGGACAGTAAATGTCATTAACCACATTTCTATAAGCGGATGAATACGTGACACCCTCTTGGGGCTGTTACCTGAGTGGGTACCCTTTATTGTGCTGTGTATTTCGTGCTCTGTTATATGTTCCCCTTATTATACTACCGTACTCCCTAGTACACCCCTAAGCTCCCTACGAGCATCCCTGAGTCACAGTTCCGCTGTGCCTTAGGTTTATGGTTAGCAGGATCACTGTATAGGCACCCTGACTTTGAACTCATCATCTACGTGCCCAGGATGCAGGGATTGTGGACTACTTTATGCTTATCCGCGGGAAGGGGCTCAGAAATCCATGACCTGTGTGATATCTGCTGGGTGCGTAACCGTTTATGGGTTTATGTGTGCCAAAACTCTTCCTGCTCAGGCTAGTGCGTCCTCAGTTCCTGTCGTGGAGGGGATAGGTGAACTTGGAAAAAACTTGTATAACTGGGATCCTGGCGGGGAGGGTGGGGGGGGGGGAAGGAAAGAGGACTGGAGGGGAAGGGTGGGACAAGTCCAGTCAGTCAAGTGACAAGGTCGTCTGTGGTCGGGATTGAGTTCAGTACTTCGACCGTGTCTGAAGTCAATTTGTGTAGGGACTTGACTGTCTGTGGAGGGTACCTGCCAGGGGTGAGTCCCCCGCCCAATACATGACACTACCTCCTGTGTCCCTCCGCACTGCCTCCCACAGTCTGTCCGCGGGGGTCGTGCGCAGAAAATCCGCACCGTTAGTCGGTCTGTCTCGCTGTGTGTGCGAGGTACGATGTGTCTCGTCTCTGTGTCGCCCTGCACCCGCCCCGGGCAACTAAGTGTCTGTGCATACTGTGTCTGTGTACGAACCAGGTATAATGCAAACTATTTACATTTCAACTACCGCCAGCTCCCCGGCCACCAAGCAAGGCCTCCATCCCAAGCATCCACCCCTCATCAGATCCCCGGACACTGCGGCATCCCGGGGCCCCCACCAGTCCCCCAACCACCCCCAGCCCACCCCCCCCCAAATCCCCCACCCCAGGCCCCAGCAGCCACCCGCCCCCAACGTCCAGGGTTCTCCCGAGTCTCCACATAGTTCCAAGCTCAGCAGTCTTCAGATGGAGGTCTCAGCCCCCTCAATCAAACCAAAGCCCCAGGGGTTCCCTTAACACTACCACTTCCCTGAGGGGGGGTGGCAGAAGGGGCCAGGGGAGGGGGAAGGAGGGGTGGGACAAGAGCGGGCCCCAGGAGGAGGGGGGAAGGGCCAGCATGATCAAGCGGAGGGGGGTGGAGGGAACCAGGCCTGCTTCTTTTTGCCATGTCCCAGGGCACCACAGCTACAGTCCAGTCAGCCCGGGAGGAGCGAGGGCCCCAGTCTATGTACCGCCACCCACCCAACCTCAAAAACTAGACCACTACGGCCA